TTGCCCAAACTCATTGGGCCTGGAAGCCCCGAATGTGCCCTTATGTGTGTGATAAAAAATGGAGCTCTCCTACTTAGTAAGCACTCCTGTATCCTCTGGAAGAGAGCTGCCACTGTACTAGTAGGTTTTATAATTCCAGCGGCTTCTAATAATTTAACAGCGTTAACCGCATAGGCAGAATCAGAAACAATATTAAGGGGACAAGGAAATCTTTGAAGAACCTCTAAAACCACCATACATTACACCACCTGGGGCAAGGTGGCAGAAAAGTTCTTTATATATGTTTTAGAACCGACAACATAGGCTCCCACACCATTCTTGGAGCCGTCTGTATAAACCGTCATCCCGTCTTTTAACGGGGCAGAAGATGTAACTCGGGGAAACACAATGGGATGACATGCAGCAAACTGCAGCAGAGGGTGTTTGGGATAATGATTATCAATTTTCCCCGAAAAGGTTGTAACCAAAATGGCCCAATCGTCAAAGGCAGTGGCCAAAGTTTGTACCTGAGAGGAGGTATAGGGGATTATCATAACCTCTGGATGCTTGCCAAAATGACTAACAGACATTTTAAGGCCTTTAAGGGCAATTTGAGCTATAGCGGTGGGGTACCAATCAATACTTTTGTTAGGAGAAGCATGCGGATGGATCCACAGTAACGGTCCGTCCTGCCATAACACAGCGGTGGGTAGCTTTCTTGTTTTAAACACACATAGAGCAAATGGTTGAGTCTCATCAATACGGCACAGCTGTGCCTCCTTAATGGATTCCTCCACTAGCAACAAGGCTGCCTCTGCTGCCGGCGTCAAGGCCCGAGGGGAGGTAATATGAGTATCTCCTTCCAGGATATCAAATAATGGCTTTAAATCAGCGGAGGGGATTTTTAAGAATGGTCGCAGCCAATTAATATCCCCTAACAACTTTTGGAAATCATTTAACGTTCGCAAATCATCCCTATAAATTTTTATTTTTTGAGGCAGAATCTTTTCAGGAAGAATAACAGAACCTAAAAATTGGCCAGTGTCTGCAATCTGGACCTTCTAGTTTTTCAGAAGTAAGTGGCCACTGGGGAACCCATACGGGGGTCTCTGTTTTCCACGGTATGGGCCGTGCTGCCCCAGTGGCGCCTAGGAAAAACCCAGGCCCTGTTTGTTGATATTAGATTTAAGATTTATTGGCTCCTGTATTTCTTGCCTGTACGGTGGCCTCGGGCTCCAGAGCCCGCCCACCATCCAAGGGCTGTGTGCGGCCCTGGGCCTGCTCGCTGCGCGGCTCCGCGTGTCCTAGGCCAGGAAGTGGCGGCTCCACCCCCAGGTGCCCCCGCCTTTCCCGCGGGGCCAGCCCAGTCCTCCGCGGCTGTGTTGGTGGGGGAGTGTGGCGGGAGCCGACACCCAGACCGAGGCGGCACAGGCTGGCAACATCTCAAGGTCCGCGCCAGAGCCACTGCAACTCAAGGGGCCTATGGGAGAGGCGGCGAACAGGGCCGCTTCCCTACTAGCAAACTCTCAACACCTGTGCCATAGCAAAAGCGGCTGTAAACTCTCACAGATCCAGCCAACGACCCAATCACCCCAAAATCCAAGGGCCCTTCGCATCCATCTCCCTGCGGAACCCGAAACACCAGACAAGCCAAGCATATACACAGCAATCTTTTAGGAGGACTTGAGTTCTTAAAATGCTAAGCAGTTCTTAAAAACTTAAGTCGCACTATGTAGATGTAATACGGTACTGCCTGTTTATTGCCTCTAAACCTTAATTGCACTTTTATTATGATAATTACGACCAGCCCTGCCTGAAGTCAGCGTAGTTTAGCATAGCCAAATGGAACCAGAGCCATTTTTGCCTCAGAGACCCTCACAGTTTTAGGTACATTGTAAGCCTTCTGCATGCCTGGCTGCTTGTGGCACCGCTCTCATTCTCGGTACTGTTGTAACATCCTCCAGGCCAGGCACCAACTGAGCCTGCGCAACGTGCCCTCCACCATAGCTACTGAGCAAAGCTCCGCTCCAGCCGCCCTCCAGCCATAGCTGCACCCATTCCGAGCCCAAACCGGTGTACGGAGCAAAGCGGAATTCAGAGAAGCAGGCTTGCTGCTCTGCAGTCATTGAAAGGACCTCATTTAATCTTTTAGGGAATTTGGGCGCCGTTAATCTCTCTGGCTGCTTCCTGCTGTATTGGGACGCTGCATTTTAGGGGTAAACACTACAACATTTCAGGAGGTCTCGGTGATTCAAACCACATAAATCCCAAGTACACCCTTAGGCTCTCCTTTTCTGTGGAGACAAAAACAGAACCTCTTTTCCAAAACATCATATCCTTAGCAGTTTCTAAATTTAAATATCTTTCTCCTATCCAGTACACAAAAGACAACACACATAACATAACATAAAGCTTTTGACCTTGTAAATCGGCCTTCTCCCCCATTTTTACTTTCTTAGAATCACTGGGGGGTCCTTTTTAACTTATTTTCTTTTCTGTCTCCCCTATTCTTTACCGGAGGGTCATTTTTAACTTATCTGGGTGCGCGCACAACCTCCCACTGCTGCTCAGTTTCTGATATGCTCTCTGGACTTTAGAACGTACCTCTCTGAGCATGCATGCCTGCAGTTCTGAATCCTCCTTGTGTCCAAGGGGTCTCTGGCGGTGCAAGTAGTTGTCAGGGTCCCCCGGCCTCCCGGGTTTCGGCACCAGTTGCCCCGCGCTCGGCCTCGCCAGCAAGAATGACGCGGGGCACTTAGGATACTTCTGCAGAAAAGCTTTAATGCCCCTTGGGAGAGCGAGCATCAGCCAACATGGCGGAGACCCAGAATGAGGGGAACCCAGCCCTTATAAAGGAAACAGTCCTCGCTTCTGACATGTCACTCTTGGATTGATCCACTGCCCATTATCCCAGATGATACCTCGGGAGTAGGCAGGGACGCAGAGGTAGAGAGTTAACAAGCACATGCGCTGGGATTAAAGGCGTGTGCTACATCACCTTGAACTCACAGAGATCTGCCTGTCTCTGCTTCCCAGGCATTGGGACCAAAGGCGTGTACTACCACACCTTGAGGTCACAAGGTCAATCTGCCTCTGTCTCCCAGGCATCAGGACTAAAGGCGTGTACCGCCACACCTTGGGGTCACAGAGGTCAATCTCTACCTTTGTTCCTTGAAGCAATGGAGAATGTGGTCGCGGCCCTCCACAGCCTTCAGCTTGTTTCTCTCCTGCCTGAGTCTTCCAGGAATTGGGAGAACAGATCTGTATCTCCATCCCTGGCTTGAGCTATTTACATCTCTGGTAGTTTCGTTTTCATTTTGAGACACAGTCTCAGGTAGCCCAGGTTTACCTAGAAGTTGTTATGTAGCCAAGGATGACCCTGAATTCCAGATCCTCCTGCCTCCACCAGGATCAGGAAGTGCCAGGATCACAAGGTGCCCGACCATGCCCACTTTGCTCCCCCATCCTTTTCTCTCTCATTCCTATTTCCTTTCTTTTGTTTGCTTTCAACTCTCCATCTTTCTTTCTTGGTCCTCCCAACTGTCTATCCATCCCCCGTCTCATTTCCAGTCAGCAGGGGACATGCCCGCTTTTCCTTCTTTCCCCAGGTTGCCTGGAAGGGGTTAAGGATGCCCGTGGCTGGGCGGGTCTTTGTCCCCCTGCCACTGCAGCCTCCTGTGGCTCTGGGTCAAGTCACAGAGGACTCTGGGACTGGTGGAGAGAAGATGCTGAGCCCCAAGTACCCTCTGTCCATGCAAAGCCCGCTCCCAGGGCTCCTCTGCGTTCAGTTTCCCTCTCAGGGAGTCCCGGGTGGGATCCCGCTGTGTGTGTGGAGGAAGAATGTTCAAGAACTTTGCTTTTAGGGTCAACTGTCCTGTAAAGTTCTGACCCTGCATGAGCAAAGAGGACAAAGCCTGTCAGAGAAAAGAAAGGTCCAGAAAGGGTTCTTGAAGATCCATGAGTGCCTCCTTCTCACCCTCGATGTTGCTTTCTGGGTCTCGTGGCTACACTAGCTCTTCCCTTCTGAATGTGCCTTTAATTCTGTTTCTGCTTTTTAAATTATTGTTTATTACAGTTACTTATTTGTGGGGGTGGGGATCTGCATGTGGAGGTCAGAGGCCAACTTCAGTTTTCCCACGGTGTGGGCCCGGGGGGAGGGGGGTTCAAGTCAGTTCATCAGGCTAAGCCATCTCCCAGCCCTCAGGTAGCCTAGGCTGACTTAAACTAGCTATGTAGCCCAGGTTGGCCTTGAAAACTGCCAGCAATCCTCCTGCCTCAGCTTATTCCCACTTTGGTAGCATCCTCTAATACCTGAACATGCTTAGCTTTGGTGATGTCCGGTTCACTTTTGGTGTATGCGCTGTGGTGCACACATATGTATGAGAGCAGAGCCCAGGGAGCTCAGGGCTGGGATCCCCTGCAGTGGGAGCTGCAGACATTTGTGCTCCTACAGATGTGGGTGCTGGGAATTGAATCCTGAACCATCTCCCTGGTCCCGGGAGTCAAGCCCACCTGCCCACTAAAAACCTGCCCCATGTTGAACTTCCCAAATACAATCTGCCTAGGTAGCATCCTGAGTGCCCACCACAGTCGGCAAATCAGAGCCACCTAAGAATGGCGCAGACAGTTAGCAGCCCACGCCTTTAATCCCAGCACCCGCGAGGCAGAGGCAGGTGGATCTCTGTGAGTTCAAGGCCAACCTGGTCTACAGAGTGAGTTCCAGGATAGTCAGTGCTATGCAGTGAGATCCTGACTCAAACCGAACAAACAAAACAAAACCCAACTCACCAACAAACAAAATTAGTCTGCACCAAGGCGGATGATTATTGTAAATAAGCTTCAGGTCAGACCTCACATTCAAACTGGCCAGAAGAGCGTGTGGGTGTCAATCTTGGTGAAAAGGAAGCAGAACAGAAATCTGGCTGAGTGCATGGCCTTCTCCATTTTTTGAAGCCGGGACAAAAAGCTGTGGGGCTGAGGAACAAAGTTCAATTAGCTCGCGGTTATGGAGGCTGAACTCCAAGACCCTGTTGACGGAACCCCCCTCCCCAGGAGTCACCGACAAACGGCTAACAAAGGGGCAAGAAGAGACAACTGGCCTGAGCTAGGCTTGGACTCAGGATCCTGCCTCAGTCTCACCAGTGCTATTGTGGCAAGTGTGTCTCACCACCAGGCTTGATCTAAATCCTTTTGTTTCCTTGTGTGTGGTGCACACGTGTATGTGTGCATGTATGTGTTTGTTTAAGCCAGAGGACATTCTCCTTACCCTGGAGCCCACTATTTTGGCTAGGCTGGATGCTGGGAGCCCCCACCCACACTGCTGGGTCACCGGCCAGTGTTCCCTCTCTGGGCTTTATCCATCAGCGCTGGGCACAGGGCTTCTGTGCTCGCTCACTGAGTGTATGGCCCACTAAGTCATCTCCAAACTCCTAAATTCCACTGTTTTTTCTTTTTCTTGATTTGGGAGCGGTCTCCCTATGTAGGCCAAGATGACCTCTGCTTCCTGATTATAAGTAAAGTCCTATGCTCCCAGGGTTGGCCCACAACCCCACTTTTAAAGGTCGGCTGGCAGTAGTAGTGGGAAAAAAACCCCAGCTCCACGCAGCCACCACAGCAGCCTGAGCATTTTGCTTAATATTTGGGGGTGTTGGCTCAAGCACACCAAGACTCACTGGTCCAGAAAAAAATTCCAGGATGAAGCAGCAGGCTAGAAGACATTGTAAGGACATCTATCTATGTACTGGGGTGCAGGTGGAGGTTGGAGGACCACATATGTAAGTCTCAGGGATCGAACTCAGGTCTTCAGGCTTCGCAACAATCACTTTTACTTGCTGAGCCATCTCGTTGGTTCCTAAAAGATTTTTTTAATTTAAATTTTTGAAAAAGACTTGTTTTTGTTTTCTGGGCATGTGTGTTTTTCTTGCATGTATATTTGGGCACCAAATTCATGCCTGGGTGCCCACAGAAGGCAGAGGAGGGTATCAATTCCCTGGAACTGTATTTATTTTTGGTGACCTGAGTCCTCTGGAAGAGCCAGTGCTCTTAACTGCTGTCATCTCTCAGCCTACACTTTAGAATAAGACTTTAAAGCTAGGCATGGTGGCGCACGCCTTTAATCCCAGCACTGAGGAGGCAGAGGCAGGCAGATCTCTGTTCAAGGCCAGCCTGGTCTACAGAGTGAGTTCCAGGGCAGCCAGGGCTACACAGAGAAACCCTGTCTTGATCCCGCACCAAAGACTTCAAGCATGAGGGTTAAGAGAGAGAAAGCCAGCAGCATTGGGGGCCAACTTCTCTGATGTGGGCCTTGGTTCCAAGTCTTCACAGAATCTGGGTGGGGTCGAAGCTGCTGAGTTCACAGGGGGATCCTGGGGCATCCACATGAGAACAACCAATGAAGAAAACACCTGGCTCCCGGCCACAGTCTTGTCCGACATCTTTATTCAACAAAGGTCCTCCTTGAGGTTCTCAGAAACTGTCCAGGCTGACCAGGGAAACAAAGCCCTGATCAAGGCCACACACATTGAGGACTTCAGCCTGACATGAAATACGTATATGTGGACAGAGGGACTGGAGAGAGGGCTCAGAGGCCAAGCTGAGCTGCTGCTCAGAACACACGAGGCAAAAGGTGAAAAGTGACATCTTCAAGTTGATATCGACATGTGTGTCATGACCTGCAAGTGTCATCTTAAAGGATGTAAGAAATGTACTAACTGCCGTCAGCTAGCGAGGGGCTCAGGACTCTCAGATCACGGTGAGATGAGAAGCCCCTCTGTCCTCCCTTCCTGCCCTCAAGTGTTACGGGTCTTTCTATGCTTCTGAGGCACCATTTCCCAGAGTCCCCTTGCCAAACACCCGGCTTCCAACCGTGGACCCTCGGGGTTGACTGGTGAGCGCTACGCTTGGTTGACACCCAGATTGTCGTTCTCTCCTGTGCAGCGGTTTGCCTGCAAGAGCAGTTACAGGGGAGTTTGTGGGGACCAGGTCTCTCAGCAGGGTGGGCAATCGACAACCTGGCACCATGGCCCTAGACTTCCAACTCCTCAGATTTATTTGGGAAGCTTTCAGTCCGGGAACAGAGTCTGTGGTCTCTCTCAGGCTCACGTATGTGAAAATGCTTGGCACATGTCTGTTACCCCAGCAGCCAGGGGGCTAAGGCAGGAAGATAATGGGCTTGAAGGGGATCTAGTCTAGCTTGGGCTACTGAGCAAGACCCTGCCTCAAAGAAAAAGAAAAAGTAAAGCTTAGTTTGCTTTAGGCACATAAGCACAAGTGAGCCAGTGTTCACTGGTGCAGTTGCCTGTTCAGTGAATGAATGAATGAAGAGTGGAATCAAAGTCGAAGGGGCCCCAACCTCCTGCCTGCCCCTGCTCACAACTGTGTCCCTGAGTTGTCGGTGTCACCAAAATAAAAGCTGTGAAGGTCCCACGTTTTGACCTGTTCTTAACATACATACATATACATATATATAAATTTGTGTGTGTGTGTGTGTGTGTGTGAGAGAGAGAGAGAGAGAGAGAGAGAGAGAGAGAGAGAGAGAGAGAGAGAGAGAGAGAGAAAGGAAGAGAGAAAGAGAGAAAGAGAGAATGGGGGCTCAGCTTTGCGCATACCCCTCATCCCAGCACTAGGGAGGTAGAGAGGAAGGAGGATTAGGAGTTGGAGGCCAGCTTTCGTCACTTAGTGAGTTTGGGTACAGAACACTTGTCTCCAAAAAACGAGGAGACAGGAGAGGAGGTTCCAGGTGACCAGCAATTTCTGCTCTTGCAACTCACAGCCAACTCACAGCCGCCCGTCACTCCGGTGCTAGGAGAGCCGACGCCCTCTTCGGGTTCCTGTGGACATTGCACGCACACTCATCGACAAAAATCTATCCAAAAAGAAAAAGGTTTTCAGTCTATGAGTCGTGGAAGAAGGGAGGGAAGCCGGAGTCCGCTGCTCCTCTTAGATGGTCAACGCCTTCGCGTCTGACGGAATCACCGCAACTTGGAAAATGCGCGCTCCACCGACGCGCTCAACGCGCCGGCCCTCGCGCGCCTCCTCGGAGACAACCCAGAACCGCCCACCTCCAGTCAGGCCCCGCCCTCCCCACAACGATTGGCCAGGCTTTTACTCGAGGGCCTACCCCTCCATCTCTGACGGGCACCACAAACAGCCAATGGTAAGAGCGCCCGCCCTCTCCGAGGCCGTTGGAGGCGGGCATGGGCGGGCCGTTGGAGGGGGCGGGGCGCGCAGCTTGGTAACCGTTGCCGGGCGCAACGCCCCGCCCCGCAAGTACGGCGCGAGGCCGAAGCGGGCGGGCGCTAGGTGCCGGCGGGCGGGCGGCGGGAGCCGGAGGAGGAGCGGCCGGCGCCGCCACCGCCGCCGCCATAGAGACTGTAGCCGTGGAGACTGTTACTTGCCAACGCGGAGCTACACGCAGCGGCCGCCGCCGCGGGAGCCGCTACCAGAACTCCCAGCCGAACTCCAGGTGAGCGCTGCGGGCCCGGGCGTGGGGCAGCGACTGGCGGGGACCCCGCTGGGGGAGTCGCTGTGGCGAGGGCAGTGGGACCCAGCGCCCCAACTTTGCAGACGCCAACGTCGCCCACTTCTGATCCTTACCAGTGATTTGGGGATCCCTGGACTGGGGGTAACACCGCTCACACTCTTCAAAGTTTGTGAAGTGTAGCGATCTCTTCTTGCGTTTGACGCACTAAATCTAACTTTGAGGGGTGAGGACTCCAAAAGACCCCCTTGTCTCTTATTTTTACCCCGAAACTCCGGGAGCGCGGAGCCACCCCCCCCCCCCAAAGTAACTTCTCACTCTCACTACCTTCAAAGCCTGGATTGGAGACTCCCCCAAGTCTGCTCCTCGCTGTCATATCCCCGAAATCTGGGTTGGGGGCTCCCACAGAGCCAGACATTCTCATCCAACTCTAAAAATCAGGGGCATCGTCTCCCCTTTACACTACTGAAATCGGGGTACACTGGGACCCCGGCTGTCATCCCTGAACTTGACTCCGAGGGGATCCTTCTGTTTGCCCCCGAAATTCGGAGCGTCCGGTTTCCTCCTTGACTCAGGCACACTGGATTTGGGGGCACCGCCCCCGGCACCCCTTTCTTGTGCTTTGCTTTGACCAAAATAGTCAGTGTATTTCTTCTGGAAAAGATTCCTCCCCGCCCTTCGCACTCTATTGTCCACCCCAAACTCCCCGGCGCCCCAGATCCTCGGATCCCTTCCCCCGCCGCGTGGAACCCCACAGTACGCGTTTGGGGGTATCTTGGGACCCACGGTCCTTTCCCACGCTGCCCCTGGAATCTCACGCGCATCCGCAGCTTCCTCTTCGTCTCGGGGATCTGCAATCCAGAAAACTTTCCCTAAGGAAAACATTGTGTGAACCGTTTGCAGAAAGCCGGGAGGCCGGCCGGGAGAGTGCGAGTGCGTGCGCGCCGGTGCGTGTGGACCCCACCCGTGCACACTCACGCTCACCCCAAAACAGCCGTGTTTCTCCTCGCCTCTCCCCATTGGCCGTGTCGGCAATCGGGATTCGCTAGAGCAGCGGTTGTCTCCTCCGCTCCCCACTACCCAGCTCAGCCGCCCCAGGACAGACCCCAGGGGGTTGACGCCCGCGGGGGACGAGGGTGGGGGGGAGGGCGCACTGTTAAAGTTCCTGGCCGCTCCACTCCGGAGACCTCATCCCTACTTTAGTCCGTCTAGGGGACACTTTAGTCCCCAGTCATTGCCTTGCTTTGCTCTCAGCTTTACACGGGAATCCTGTTCCACCGAGAAAAATCCTACGATGATTGGGTGTTAAATAATTTTATGAGTTTGTATTACTTGTGCACCGTGTGGCCTCTGACCTTTCCCTTCATGTATGTGTTCTGATCATACACTCCACCACTCACCTATCACTCCCGCCCACTCCTGATGACCCCTCCTCCCAGTTCCTCCTCTACTTTTTGCCTTTTTTTCCTTGAAGAGAGTTGTAATGAGCATGGAATCAGATCCCTCTGAATGAGTTAAAAAAGGGGAATCTGTAGTGTAGGTAAAGTAAGAAATCTGTAGTATAAGGATAAATAAGTATAATATAGAAAATAGAAAATTAAGTAAGAAGCTGTGTGAAGTAGAAAATTATTAAGAAGAAATATTAAGAGAACATTTTTGCCCACTAAGAGGCTGCCACACCCATCTGACCCTGCCAGATAGGAAGGCTGCATCCAGTAACCTTGGTAACAAAAGTAATCTTGCCACACGAGAAGGACCCCACCCTTGTATGTCCAGTTGATACCGATAGCCTAGGACATCTGGCTATCAGAAGGATCGGAAGGGAGACAGGTTCAAACGGGTGGCAATGGTTCCCTCGGCAGTAGCCGCGTTAACTGCCTACATGTCCTCAGGGATCAGATGATTACTGTCAAGTGATTCACTTTTGTTTAACTTTTTACATGCATTTATTTATTGAGTGTGACTACACGCGTGCGCTCACACGCACATGGGTACATGGGTTCCAGGACCTCGGTTCAGCAGGCCTGGCCGCAAGAGCCCTTACCTGCCAAGCCACCTCCGGACTGTGGAATGAGATTTAATTGAAAGTGAAGTAAAGATACTTCCAGAGCCGTCATGTTATTAATAATAAAATAATGACGACACAGAACTTTTTCAAACCTTTCCTGTCATCTTTTTAACCTCTTTGGCCAGCCTGTGGAGGGTGCTTGTTTATTGGGAGGGCTCTTGTGGGTCTGGCGGCTGTCCTGCCCTTCTTCCTGGTTGGGTTCAAGGACTGGAATGGACTGGAAAATCCACCAGGGTGTGCCACACCCGGGCATTCTCCACTTCCACTGGAGAAGTGAGAGCTCGGGCCTCAGGGAAAGAAATCTAAGGCTCCTACCACCAGGCGGTCATATCCAGCGGATTACAAACTGAGGGGCAGGAGCCAGAGAGAGAATTTTGGATACTTTGAATCAGTGATGGTTTAACAATGCTGCAATGTTCTACTGCCTGTCAGGTTGCTCCCTGAGCCCTAGGGCCACAATAGGGCTATAGACGATGTTACCACTCTCAGACTTTAAAATACAGCTTTTAATTCCCTTGCTGCATGAAGAGTCCCTGGTGCCTTAAACTGCATTGGTAGCCGGCTTCTTTCTTTCTTTCTTTCTTTCTTTCTTTCTTTCTTTCTTTCTTCCTTTTCTTTCTTTCTTTCTTTTGACAGAGTTTCTCTGTAGCTTTGGAGCCTGTCCTGAAGCTAGCTCTTGTAGATCAGACTGGCCTCAAACTCACAGAGATCCTCCTGCCTCTGCCTCCCGAGTGCTGGGATTAAGGGCGTGCGCTGCCACCGCTCGGCAAGTAGTGGTATTTTCAATCTTTATTATTTCAGTGAGTATGCAGCATCTGTTGTGTGCACAGCGGCGGTCTGAGGACCACTTACAGGAGTTTGCTCTCTCCTTCACCTGGGGATCAAACAAGGGTTATCAGGCTTGGCTGCAAGCCTCTCCCAGTACCAGTGGTGATACCAATATTCATATATGCTTATTAGCACATGCTAATATATTCCTATATTCATTAGTTCATCTATTAAACTAAAGATTGCTTAGCTTGTTAAATCCTTAGCTAGAAGGAATCGCATGTTATATGCTTTGTTTTCTTTGTTTTTTCCCACTTACTTACTGAGGTGCTGGGCTTTGCATATGCTACTCAAGCGTCCCTGCTGCCCAGGCACCCAGCTGTTGTTTTTATTTTTACTGTAGGTTTTGAGATAGTGTCACACTTTTAGACCAGGCTGTCCTAGAACTTGCTGTGTAAACTAGACTGGCTTCGAATTAACCGAAATCTGCTTGCCTCTCTGCGTCCCGAGTGCTCAGATTAAGACATGCACCACCACCCCAACCCTTTACCGGATTTCACTGATGTGTGGGGCTACCCAGCCCACCTACGTTCAGCATTAATGTGTGGATGGGTGGGTGACTGCTCCTTTGTAGATTGTTCCTGATACCTGAGGTTCCTGATACCTGAGTCCAGCTCCCCACAGTCCCCCAAATCCATTCCCCCAATTCCTTACTGTCCTACTAGTGAGCAGCAGCTGGGCACTCAGGTTGTGAAGCCCTCCAGCTGACCTAGGGACCACCAGCTGCTCCCATGACACACCATCCCTCCAGTGCCGTTTGTCTCCATACTGGAAAATGACAGTGTTTCATGTTGCTCCGTCTCCTCGGTGGTTCTGCCCAGCGCCTTCTGTACTGCTTGTGCACAGTTTATCTGCAGTGCTGAGGACTGAGTCAGGACCACAAATGAGCCGGTCAGGTGCTCACCATTGAGCCATGGCCCCAGCTACAAAAAAAATGCCACTGGAATTTAAACCTCACCAGCAGTGTTGAGTGTCCTCCCCCCACTTCACCCCTGGCCTCGGGCATCATGGTGACCATAAGTTTGCTGGGTGGCCAGCCCACTCGTCAGGGCGGCTTTGACTTCTGAGTTTACCAGCTTTCAGTGCCAATATTGTGATGTCTGGAAGGGAGCCACGGTGAGGCAGGCTGGCTGGCTCATGCCAGGACTTGAACTCAGCCCCCAGGACCAGGCACCAAGCCTTGTGCTCCTCAGCTGTTTCTTACAACCACATTCCTGTCATATGAGGTATAGGCCTGGCAGGTTCTGCCACCCTGCCCAGCACCCTGGCAACTCTGGCTTCTTCTTTTGGGCCCTAGTGAATCCTGTGATTTCCTCCCAAGATGGCTGACTTGGAGGCCATCCTTATAGGCCAGTTTCCTTATAGAGTAAGGGCTTGCTGCTGCTGCTGCTGCTGCTGCGTGCACCCCAAGGATGCCCTGATGAACTTAAGGAGTAGTTAGTATACAGTCTCTAGAACAGGTGGAGTGGAGGACAGCTCGTGGTTAAGAGCACTCATGCACGCGAGGCTCTTGTGGAGGTCCTGGGTTTGGTTCCTGCCTCCACACACAACCCTGTTCAGTCCCGGGGATCTGATGTCCTCGTCTGCCCTCCCTAGGCACCAGGCATTCTCATCATGCACAGATGCAGGGCAGGCAAAACGTCCGTACACATAAAGTGATAAAATGTAAAGA